AGAAATAAAAGTCCTAGCACCAAACGTTCAAATGTGGTGAGCAAAATTAAGGATTTTCAAATAAAGTCAAATTCCTCCTAGAGCTCATCAAAACTGTTAGTATCCGAAGAAAAGAAAAAAAAACACATGAAACTTAAAAGCTCTAGCACTAATTCTTTAAAAGTAATGGGCAATTTAAGGTTTTTTTCGGACAACAAATGGACGATCAGATCATAAATAATAGCTCGAATCTTTGGTTACGGGGACATGAAAATGGATATTAAAATTTTTTGTAGCTTTAACTTGTTTTCAAAATAAATTGATTATAAAAATTTGTTTGTTGAATTGATAAATTCATTTTTTTTTTTTTTTTTTTTTGCTTTTTCATCATTTATAAAATACATTATATATCCTTTAAGTAACTCTATTTTTCAACACCAAATAATAACTGTTTTTAAGCAAAACAGTAAAATTAGGCGAAATTTTTTATTTTTGTGGTTTAAACAAAATCCACCATTTAAAACATTTCCAATAAAAAAAGACTTATTATAAAAATGCCAATATCACAACTGCACTAATTAACTGTAATTAAACAATAAAACAGGAGTGGCTAAAAAACTAAGCAAATACACTGCATTTAATAGCATCTCCGATTAATGATATTATAATCATAAAAACGCAGATGCACACTGTAAAGATACGTGCCCTCGTCTGGAATTTTACAATGTTCATTATTTGATTAAATAATAGATCTGAAAAAATAAAGTGCAAAAAAAGTACACAGAAAGGTACAACATGAAATTACCTCATGACACTAAGAACACAAACGCCAGATATTTTAGAAACTAAGCGAGTAAAATTACTGGTTGCATTGATCTTAACCTGTCTTCTCTTCCGAGATGTTTTAATTATTTTATATTAATCGGACAACAACAGCCTGACTAATGGCTCACCATGTATTGGTAAGTCGTAAAATTGTAAAGTGTCCATCCAGTGGCTCTCATGACAATACGACCTTTAGGTATTTTGTGACGACCTGATCAATATAGAATGTCTGCAAATCACAAAAAAGAATCTTAATATAATCTCTAGATTTTTCTAAGTTGCAAGAACTTGTTACCAATCCCTTTGAGTGAATTATGCAATGAGATATGTTCAAAACAAACAATCTCTCGATTACATCAGATAACATAATAAAGAAACAGATTACATTTGGTTCGAAACGTACAAAAAAAATTAAAGGTAGCAGTTTACAACAATGTGTAAAAATGAAATACAAAATACGAGTATAAGTATATGGAGATAACGAAAGTATTCAAGCTCTAAATTTCATTCAAACAATACAAAATAAGAGCAAAGCAAACACGGGCCTCTTTACATCAGAGGTGGAATCAGGTGCCTTGGAGGAGTGAGCATCCTTTGACAACTGGTCACACCCATCGTGTGCTCATTATCAAAAAGGAAATAGGAGGGCAAAATGGCACTTTGTTTTTTTTTAAGATTCCTAAAAGTTTATGAAAAAGGTCATTCAGCTGGTATAAAGGCCAGTATACACGATGAGATTTGTAGTATAATACAAGTATTATATAACACTTTTGTATTATAATACTTTCTTGTACTCACGCTAATACATATCTTATAAGATTGTAAATAAACTAGGTATTCCAACGTGTTTTCCCCGCCATAATTATCTCTCTGTCAAAATAATAAGTATGGAGGGTGAGGCTCTGATAGCAGTGCCTATCATCGTACTTTGCAATGATTGATATATTCTGCAAGTCCTATTCCCATTCCAATAAAACCACAAGTTTTTCGATGTCTTTATTTGTAAAGTCGGCCATTATTATTTACCATGTGCTTTCTAGTAATGATAAAAATAGGATGACCCCTAGTATCATTACATTTCATTTGTTGAAAGTAAAAGGTATTAGTTAAGACTTGTATTAGGAAATAGAGCATTGCTCTATTCATAATACAGTTTTATAAGATTCGAAAAATCTTATTTTTTTTAAGAGTGTATACACGATAAGATTTTGTATTATAATACAAATCTTATAATACAAATCTTACCGTGTATACCGGCCTTAAATGATGGATTGTATTTGCTAAAAAGGTGATTGTATCGACCATAAAACGTATGAAATGATTACTTAAAACGAACCTTTTGATATTCTTGTTTCAGCTTCAACTTGTTTGTGAATACCTGGTAAATTACCTCGTTCTAGAAATAATTTTTCATACGTAGAGCATGCCTTTGTACGGCCCTCCGGCGGCACCGTGCCTTTGCAGCTGGGAGATGTTAACCCATACGCAGATGATAAGGGTACATTGCTGCATATTAGCACAGAAAGTTGACGATTGGAACGCAAAGTCATCACATTTATCTAACATAAGCTTTTGTTGTCAGATTTTCATGATTGTCTTGTTTCTCGTAAAATATCCGAAAATGAAACAGATGTGTTAGATTTTTTTTGAATTTTTTATTTCAATAATTTTGATTAAACGGAATTTTAAGCAGTAAAATTCAGTTTGGAGATGTCAGGTACTTTCCAAAGCTTAAGGCATGACGGACCCACAATAGGGAACATGCTTTTTCAATTTCATTTTCTTAAAAGTACATTAAAATTAAGGCACAGATGAAAGGGTACAACGAACCACAAAGCAAATCCATGAACTTAGTGTTATGTTTTATTGATTATTTATCAATTTTTTGATTTTTTTAAAAAATATTTTTAAAAGGTTAAATTTCTCACTTTATTCCATAGAAAATGTTTGACCCCGTTGTTTTTTCACAACCTACCCAAAGGAGGACATGACTCTTAATATCAGAATTATACCATCATAGCCTTGCTGTTCCGAAGAAGTTATTTTCATCCATGATGAAAAAATGATTACAGAGGATGCTTGCATATTTAAACAATTAATCCTAAGAAATATTTTGAACCATCGTAAAATCAAAATCTAGAAAATATATTAAATATATAAATACATGTATACAATTGTATTTATTTCTAAAAGTTTGACCCAAAGACTAAGAAAAGAAGACTCGATTTCGAGTCAGCTTCAAAACCCGATATCACAAATAGAATTGATGTGATGTGAGGTTAAAAAGAAAAACATCCTCTTTACATTCCTATCTCAGAGTGAAATACAGGAAAGTCTTAATATGCTTATTCTCCGTACATTGCTTGGCCAGAAATCGGGATTTATTTCATTAAAACTAATCTTTTCATCTCAGTGGATTTGGAAACCAGTCATAAATACAGGCTTGTTTTCTTGACGTTTTTACGTGTACAACAATCAGCAATGCTGATAATTTTATTCCTGCTTTTCAATTTCACATTCTCTAGGTTCTAGATTTAGCCGAATTGTACTAAAACACAACAAAAGCTGTGAAGCAAAAGATTTTTTTTTTATTTGAAATGTACTTGTAATAAAGAATGAAATGGAAAATTATGGTCTTAATGTAATGCAATGGATGAAGCATGTACGCCATTTGTGCCTTGTCCTACAAAGGAAATAGTTTAAGACAACGACTGGAACACATGCACCCGAGCAGTAGTGTTAGGAGGCGATGGACAGACCATGTGGCTTTATGCTCAGTAATACAAGGATTAAGTAAGCATAATTGACAATGATGTATTGTTCATTAGCTGTATTGGCAATACATTGGCATACTTAATTTGCCTTGCGAAAGAAGTAGTTGTCTTGTCGAAAGCTTTTAATAATAAATACTAACAAGCATACGCTAGCACGAGAAATTCTTTGAGAATTTACGCCTCTAACCTCAATCAAAGCCTCTGTGTACTGAGTATATGGAGGTTGGGGGTGCCTTTCTCTCATTGAGCGAAATAGCTTTGGAATTGCAGAGGACAAAAGTATTTTATTTGGACTTATTAACAAATGTAATTTGAGTATTATCAGAAAAGATATAACAAGGGAATTAAAAATATGATTCATAATGTTGATGGAACCTGGATATTTTTCAAACAAATAATGATGAATTCTCTAGAGTTTTTTGACATGTAATGTACAACCAATATTATAACGGATAAGCTCTTAACCATTGATTCTAACTTGATGAAAAGCAATGTAGAGTCAACGTTCGAAATAGAGACAATATATAATACGCTAAAATGAAATATAATCCACCCAAATGCTCAGGAATCTAACGGTCGATTCCATTACCCACAGTCACTAATATTGCGGAAAATGACTACAGAATTATTTACGGAAATCTTTGAATTGTGGCATCGATTCCATTCTTTGTCACGAGTGGTTTTCTGTGGGAAGTGAAAAATATTGGCACAAAATTTGCTTGGAAAACTCGCCTACTCTAGCCGCGATGCTCTTACAAGAACTTCATCAACGATCCTACAGCACGATAAGGAATTGTGGATCGGCGAATCAAACAAATTATGTAATATTGTTAGAGAGTGATTACCACTTCATTATTTTATTTTTCAATATTAAATCACTCCTTTATTTAATGAAACATGCTGTTTTAAATCCTGGCCAATTTATTGTTGAATCCAATTTCCCTCTCTACATCGTTAACTGTATCAAAAGGTTTGCTGTATTGAGTTCAGAATATAAGAGCAGAGACCGCTTATATTTTATTAAGCTTAAAATTCGTGTAATGTAATTAATTTAAAGACAATCATTACTTAATACAAAAATTATCACCAGAAGGAGCATTATGAATTGAAAATACGTTTCAAGATTCTTTTAAAACTACTTTGTAGACAGTTATTCGTACTATGGAAAATTTACTGAGATACGTGACTAAGAAAAACTGGTTTCAATTTTTGTTCAATACATTTCTCAATATCTCTGTACAAAGATCTGTGAATAAATAAATGCAAGAGGTGGAGGGGGGGGGGGGCTAAAAAGTTTTTGTACATTACTTGCACTAAAAAAAATGTTGGTATATTAGTTGCGTTTTATCTTCATCAGATAACATAATAGTAGTATATCTTTTGTTTTATTATAAAAATATAGAATAAGATATTAGTACTCACAGTAATCTCCCCTGTTTAGCAATTCAATACTCCCCGCCATCACTAACTATACAGCTTTATTCTGATGAGTAAGATTCTGGGAGAGCCGATGAGATTTGACATTTTAATCCAACATCATCCGGGAACATTGGTCGGAAGTCCTTTCATTATATCCCAATAAAATGTTAATATGACAATCCTAACCAGCTTATCCCTTATAAATTGCATGGAATCCGAACAACCAATTGTTTTCCCCCACAATTTACCTAGGCTTGCGTTTTTGCTCTATAGAGATTTGTCAAAACGATGTAATCTTCCTTTAATTTACACAGCAGGAATAGGAACAGATGTTTCATACACACAGTGAAAGTTTACGTTTTTTTCTGATATTTTCATGTTCACAAATCACTGTATATCAGCATTCCCAGTGGAGGGTTACGTCTGCCTCTTATATCGGAGGATTCCGTACTCCTGTTTGCCCTCGGTCTCTATTCACGGCTACTATAATCAATGATCACAGATCAGATGTTATATCAATCACTAAACGCCTTTTGTTTAAAAATCCGCCCCAATTTACAGCTTTCTTATTAATAATAAGTAATTTCCGTTTTCAGTTTTTAAATATTATAGTCGGAAAAAAGGAAGAAAAATTGACAAAAAAATCAGTGCACTTAATTATTCAGGATGCAGCAATATATAAATATCATATACTAATAGCCATTCATTATGTACACCTTTCAATAAAGAACGAACTGAAAACTAAATACAGCCTTTCCATATGGTAGCAATGATAATGTCGATAGTGTTGGGAATCTTTTCAGTCCACAGAGTAACAATATGAATGGATACAGGGACTTTTTAACCATACACAGAGACGTACGCGTTGTGGTAGACATCAGCCTTACAATAAACCTATTATACTTTTACATTATGTCTCCTTTGATTCATCACTACCCTCTGTAAATAAGTTAAATCTTCATCATATTGGCATCAATCTTTGAAAGTTTTGAATATAGTTCATTTGAAAAGCGAGGAAAGTCTGTATTTGGAATCTTCCATGCCAAATCTGTGATAATGGATATGCAAACCAGGCTTTTTAAACCGTGGCGTTTTACTGAAGAGAATATGCTGGTATCATGTGCCTTTAACATAAGTATATTAACGAGGAATTGACGCAACAATACGTAATATCGCGATTACCTCGCAGTTATCCAACTTACTACCGCTCTTTTGCGGGGGAGTCGAGAAAGCTCAAATCTCACGAGATTACTGGGGCACATGGCATTGTTTACAGTAGTGACAATCGAATGATTTGAACAATTTTAAGTCGAAAGTACAATGTATTGCCAAGAATTGAATTCCAGATAGTATATTGTCAAATAAGGAAAGTTTAGATTATTTTATCAACTTTAAAATGATACGATTTTAAATGAAAATTTAACGAGAAGAGCCCACTTAGTAAAAAATATCGTAAAAAATGTAACATTTTAGGATTAGCTCCTCTCAGAAATTAATGAGGCTGGTTCAGGGATTGATAAGCAAGCTATTCCACCAGGATTTTTTACTTATCTGTCCTTATAAATTCTACAATGATGGATCTTGCATTGTATTCAATAACACACTTGCCCCCAGCCAACAGACGTTTCCTACCTCCATCGCGAAAGAGTTCCGCTAAGTTAAGTTATCGCGATATCAAGTATTATATGTTATTCTAATATTCTTAATCAAAAAAGGATCCAGTCTTATTTCAAGTTGAAGTCCACATTTTGTATTTCATTCAAATATACATAGACTTTTGCTTCCAAACTTTTTACATACATGTACTAGGTTCAAAAACCCCTCTACAGTACCTAGCTATTGTAAGCGTAAATTTCGATCTTGTCCATATTTATGGAACGCCAAATTCACAAAAATGAGCAAAACTTAGTTTCACAGTCGATAAACTAGGTTTATCGGTTGTAAACTATAGTTTACGGACTGTAAACTATAGTTAACAACGTTAATCTATATTTTACATCTGTAAACCATACAACCGTAAACTATACTTAACGCCGAAAACAATCATTTGCGATTGCAAAATATAGATTATCTGATAAATATAGTTTCACGATTTGTTTACTGTGGTTTACAACTCTTAACTATAATTAACGATCGTAAATTATAGTTTACAGACGTGAATCAATGTTTATCAACAAAATCTATTGTTAACGTTTTATTACAGACAGATAAACTTAGATTAGCATTCGTAAACTATAGTTAACAACCGTTAAATATAGTTTTACAGATGAAAACTATAGTTAACGAATTGTAAACTATAGTTCACGGTTTGTAAACTATAGTTTACAGTCGATAAACCAAGTTAATCAATTGTAAAACTATGTTTAGCACGCCAAATTCACAAAAATGAGGTAATTATAGTTTCACAGTCGATAAACTAGGTTTATCGGTTGTAAACTATAATTTACGGACTGTAAATTATAGAACAAGTTAATCTATATTTCATATTTGTAAACCATAGTTAACGCGATAATCTATGTTTCACAACCGTAAACTGTACTTAACACCGAAAACAATCATTTGCGATCGCAAACATAGATTCTTTGATAAATACAGTTTCCCGATTTGTAAACTATGGTTTACAACTCTTTACTATAGTTAACGATCGTAAATTATAGTTTACAGACGTGAATCTATGATTATCAACAAAATCTATTGTTAACGTTTTATTACAGACAGATAAACTTAGATTAGCATTCGTAAACTATAGCTAACAACCGTTAAATATAGTTTTACAGATGAAAACTATAATTAACGAATCGTTAACTGTAGTTAACGGTTTGTAAACTATAGTTTACAGTCGATAAACCTTGTTTTGTAATTTTGAAACTTGGTTTAGCTCATTTTTGTGAATTTGGCGTGCCATACATATTCTACTTCAGCCTCCAACTATTGTCCTACTGGACAAGTCGTTACTGGAGACGTATTGATAAGGACTTCAGCTGGCGTCATTATACCAGGAATATATTTAATTCTACGGCAGATAATGCCAAGAGAATAGTCAATTGATATTAAAATACCTCGACACTTCTTCAGAATGGATTAAAAACTGAAATTGAGGTGCATTATGAATACAATCTTTTCTGCTTTTAATTATTCAGAAGTGAAAAAAAAATTACACGATCAATATGTACTGTTCCCGGTTAACAAAGCAGTTTAACAACATTGTCTTTTAAGGCTAAATTAATTTTTTAGCTTTTGACAAAATAGATAGTTCTTCCTCTTTTTTTCAATAAAATGAGAACATGTAAACTTCCGTACATTACCATTGGTATTTTGTAAAATTATTTTATTGAAATACATTATGATTTTACTAGCAAGTACTCTGAGGTTGATAATAAAAAGATGTTTTCTGACTGACAGTATTTATGAAGTGTCTAGATACCAAGTCTTCCAACAAGAATGTATTTTATAAGAATCCACTTGAGTATCAAACAATCCTCTTATAAGCAGACCTACTTTCCTTTTTATAGGAAGCAAAATTTATTTAAGAAAGCTCTGCATAAATAGAAGGTATCTTGCTGAAATATTGGCCTTTGATTATATACGGTTAAATTACAGTTTAATTTTCTATTCTTTAAGAGAAAATTTACGTTCTGTGTTTGGTTGCAATCCAACAAACAAAACATCTTATTAATGTAACAGGTGAAGATAACGAACAGAGATCGATATAAAAAAATAATACAAATATGTGAAAAGGACATTAAAAAACGGACCCCTGGATATCCCAAGGATTGGATAAGGTGTCGAGGAGAAGTAAGCATTCCCTATTAGTCACACCCGCCATAAACCGTCTGAGTCCATAGGATTTTTTTCTGAAACGGTTTGATTTGAACATATTTTATTGTTTAGATGTTACAACAAAAGGATTGAACACAAGTTCTTAAAACTTAGAAAAAAAACGTTCTCTCCTTTGAAACCTTCTGAACCTAGAAACCTCTCCTTCTGAACTGGTTGACATACATATTCAAATGATCTTTTGAAAATTTATTTTTCAAAAGATTAAGATTATTTTCATAATAAACATGAAAAAGAAACTTTTTTCCAAACATTTCCATTATCATCGTTAAGTTCTTCTGTGGAATAGAAAAATGATTATCACAAGAAATACGAAAGTAAGTTGACAATGCGAACATCAGTCGAGATCTAGGATAGATAGAACATGCATCTGAGCAGTAAGAAACAAATTGTCCGATGATTTGATCAACTTAATCGAATACAATCATGGCATTGACCCTCAATAAAGATAAACATCTTGGGAGGCATCAATAATGAATACGCAGTAGTCCCTCTGTTTTGAAATCGATGATTTAGACCAAAAGCGCGCGAATTCAACATTTTTTAACGAAAAATTCAATAATATCATCAACTGCTACTTAATTTTTGTGCCCCGCCTGCGGATCAGAATAAAACTCAGGGAGCACTTTAACTGACATCTCACTGTCTGTCATACTATATCTCAAGAGCTTCAATGAAATATATGGAGATAACTAACAGAAATTTAAATCTCAAAAGCCCATTAAACAGTACAACTCAGGAGAAAAGCAAACAAAGAGCTCTTTTTAAAAAACATCAGATGTTGGATCAGATGCCATGGAGTAATGAACATTCCCTGGCTGCTGACCCGTCACACATTCCGTGTGCTATTTGATATGAGCGGAAAATCGAGAAAAAAATCCATCGACACATCAGTGTCGTGTCCAAAAAAGGTCTAAGAATTAGTATGCAAATGTCAACCAGCATTTAAACTAGAGGTACTGTGACCAATGAGCTCACTAAATGATACCCCCGCCTCCCATATGATTATAACTGATGACAAAGTCCATGTTTTGCTGTGCCCGGGAAACCCAAAATATGTGTCGGATCAAAAAGTAAAATAGGAGGTGCACAATGGCAATATGTAATAAAGATTCTGTGAAAGTTTCATCAAATTTCATTCAGTGGTATGAGAGGAGTTGCGGATAAGAGATGGGTACCCCAAAGCGTAACAGACGGACGGACAGACAGACGGACGGACGGACAGACGTACAGACGGACGGAATTAACGATTACTATATACCCTCCCGCTTTTCAAGCGGGGGGTATAATGATTGAATGTTGTTTAACGTCCCTCTTGAGAAATTTTCACTCATATGGAGACGCCACTACTTGCCGGTGGAGAGCTACAAATTTTGTCCTATACTCTGCACTTAGGGCCACTGAGCAGTGAGGGATCTTTTCCGTGGAAGCACCTACTGCGACACAGGACCTCGATCCCGGTTTATACGGTCGCATCCGAAAGGCTGGTCTCCACGTCCCACAGTGGGATTCGAACCCGCAACGTAAGGATTAACTCCTTACTTCGCGACGCTAGAGCAGGCGCTAGATAATCACTGCACCAAGCTGGCGACTCACCATTTGACTCAATGATAGATTGTGCTTGCTGACAAGGTCAATGTATTGATCATAGACCTTACAACTTTATTGTCAATAAATTATCTCGTTTCAGAAATTATTCACACGTCGAACATGCACTTGTGTGTGGAATCAACTGAGAGATATAAAGTAATTATGCAGGGGATGAAGGTACTACTATATTGCCGCATAAGTAAGGGAAGTTGACGCTTGAAAAGTTAAAGCCATGAGATTTATCATAAAGTTTGGTTGTTAGATTACCAAATAACGTATTTTTCTTGTAAAATATCCAAATATGAAATAGATATGTCAGACTCTAAGGTATATTTTATTTCAAGTTTCAAGGGATTTTTTGTGCTGATATGAATGGAAGTAACTATTGTTGATTGATAATACGTTGTTAAATATATCGAAAGTTGAGTTGAAGGCCACAGCAAGCATTTTCTTAATCTCATGTAAAAATTTTGAATAAATTCTGCGTCATTTGAATACAAACATCGGTCATATATAATTATATATTCATAAATATGGTATGAAAAAGACCCCTCATTCCTAAGTGGCCCTAAACGTTAGTATATATAGGTGCTCTAAACGGAGACATGTTCTCATCATAAGTTGATATTTCAAGGATTTCAAAACCCTTGTTTAAGGTGTTTTCACCCTCACAATTTTAATGGTTCAAAGTACAAAAACTGCATTCCTTTTCATTCAATATACTTTACATTTTCCAATTATTGCATCAAATGTATAGGTCACCATATTATTTAAGATGCGAAATATAAATACATGTAAACAGAAGTGTATGTCAACATAAAAAAATAGCACATTTTTTGTAAACAGTATTATGAAAAATATGTAAAAACTGGTTAAAATGCATAATTGTGATGCTGAATGTTCCTAAATACATCCTACTTATAAGATACTTTTGAATTGCGAATATCAGAGAAACTATTTTTACATTAGAAGTACAAAAAAGCAAATGCCTGAATGAAGAGACCTTAGGAGTTATTGCCCTTGTCACATTTTTAAAAGATTGAATAATTGATTAAATAAAGAAAATATGCCTTTTTAAAATTCTTTTACTTAAGAAACGAAGTTTCGGGGGTGTATAGTTTTGTCGTGTCCGTCCGTCTGTCTGTCTCTTTGTTTGTTTGTCCGCAAAAACTTTAACCTTACTCATAACTTTTGATTTTGAGGAGCTATGACTTTCATATTTCATATGTGTATTCCTTGTGACAAGACCTTTCTTTGGGTACCAACAATTTTGATATTTTGACCTTGACCTTGGAGATTAACTCACTTTTACACAAAAATTACAAATTTTTACTTTGGCCATATTTTTTGAACAGTAGATACCAGGACATTTATACTTCAAATATATTTTCTTTGTGGCTAGACCTACTAACAACCTTGACATTGGAGATTGTTATACCTATGAAAAAAACTTTATCCTTGGCCATAACTTTTGAACGGTAAGGGTTAGGGCTTTCATACTTCACATATGTAATCCTTGTGAGAAGATGCTTCATTGGATACCAAGAAATTTGACCCTTTGACTTGACTTTTGACCTAATTTTAAAATACAACCTTGACCATATTTTTGAAGGGTTGGGACTAGGGCTGTCATACGTCACATATTTAATTCTTGTGACAAGACCTTTTATTTGATATAAAGAACTTTGACCCTTTGACCTTGACCTTGGAGTTTGACCCATGTTTACACAAAAAATCCAAACTTTTACTTTGGCCTTAATTTTTAAACCGTAGATACTAGGAATTTCATATTTCAAATATCAGTTTTATGTGGCAAGACCTTTTATTTGAAAACAACAATTTTGACCTTTTTACCTTTACCTTGGAGATTTCCATACTTACGAAAAAACTAACCTTGGTCATAACTTTTGAACGGTAAGGGCTAAAGCTTTCATACTTCACATATGTAATCCTTGTGACAAAACCTTTCATTTCATATCAACAACTTTGACCCTTTGACCTTGACCTTAGACTCTGACCTACTTTATACAAACTTTAACCTTGGCCATAACTTTTGAATGGTAAGGACCTGGACTTTCATACTTCTTATATGCAAGGCCTTTCTTTAGAAACCAACAACCTTGATCCTTTGACCTTGACCCCGGAGTTTGTCCTACCTCTAAAAATGTAAACCTTGGTCATAACCTTTGAACAGGTGGTGCTAGTGTTTTATATTTCACATTTGTAATTCTTGTGAAAAGGCCTTACTTTAGGTACAATATATTTGATCTGCATTTGAGAAAGCTTAACCTTTGCTATGTTGCCATACGGGGGCATCAGTGTTTCACAAACACATCTTGTTTCTATACTAGATTTGAGTATATTATGTATCCTTGATTAATACATGGGGTCAAGTGGGTCTGATCGGTCAACAGAGAATGCCAACTCCTTCTAAGGTCCAGGTCCCACCTGGAATTTCCAGGTGTCTGTGATTTATGCTCTCTTCACATACATTTGTATTGTTTATACATTTTTTTTACAACCATTCCCCCCTGATGAATTAAAATCAGACTTTTTGCTATTATACAGACAGCTGCTTTTTCAATTAAAAATGGAACTCATAAATTCATATACTTTGTCAATGGGACTTTGCAAATTCATTTTGTTAAAAAAACATTCTGATTGCACACACCTGAATTGTATTGATATTAAAATGTAGCTTTCAAGAGTTTTTAATTGACAATATCTAAGTAGTTTTTATAGATCTTGGGCAAGAGAAGCTTAGTCCTCCTAGGCTCCTGATCCCACCTCTAGATATTCCAGGGATCCATCTTTCATGCCCTGTTTGCAGATTATTATTGATTGTTGTATTTTTTTTAGATCAATAACTGTTTGTTATCTTCAGTTTCATATGACAAAAACTCTTCATTGCATATTCTCTTGATAACATTCATAGCAGGGCAGAAAATTGTTTGGAATTTAATACATGGTTTATCTTTTTTTGGCTATCAGAATGAGAAGTCAAAACATTTATGATCAATGTTTTCAAGTGGTTGACCACAATAACAGGGTCAGATTCTATATAAGGCTTTCAAGCAAATATCCTTTGTCCTACATGTACTGTAATAATGCCAAGTAGCAACACTTTGAAGTAACTGGGTGATAGTAAATATAATATCTTGACACACATAAAATTTCTTACATCCCACTAGTGAAACATATATATGTACTAAAATAAGTTAAAATTTTCAGTAAAACAAAGATATCACATGTCAGACACATTTATTATGCAACAATAGAATCATTAACAACATACTGCAACAAACTGCATAACAACAAGTAAATGATATTTATAAATAACATAGATACTCATCTGCAGAATGTATGAAGACTATGACAATGCTTAAATTAATTTAACTAGCTTACATGCTGAACTCAGTTAGCTATTGAGAGCATTATATTAAATAGCAGCATATAATGAAACAGAAAACATGGAATGTAAAATGTTAACAGTATTGTACCTATTAGCAAGTCAAACTGCAACAGGTAACATTGGAAAATAAAACAAAAGGTGAAGCCTTACAGAGAAAAGAGGGTACTTGAATTTTTGACATTTGTGAAAAAAAGCAACATTTACTTCTCAAAATACAAAGCATCAGATGAAGCAGCATATAGTTTATCATTATTATTAAAGATATTCCTTTCATTCTAAAAACCCAGAAATCTGGGGAAAACTTCCAACTTAGAAAGCTATTTTTTGTTGATTTCAGGACTTGAACCTGAAATGAGAAAGTCAAATATTGAGGTCCGTGGAATGGCAGTGTAATTATCAACATAGTATCCTATACTGCAGGTGCTATGAGTGAGTCAAAGCTTCAATAGCCAAGCAGTTTGCTTTACCATGAGTGAGCAGTGGGGGGAGGGATTGTTTTCTACTGGTGGGTGTTTTTTTTACTCTTGAGACTGAGTGGTGGGGGTGTTTGACTAGTGAGGCTGAGCGGTGTAGGTAGTGTGTGTGTTTGGGGGGGGGGGGGGGGGGTTACAACTGATGGGTGTTTGACTAGTGGGGCTGGGTGGTGGGGTGGAGTGTAGTGGGATCCCTATAATGGTCATCAATGTCCCCCACGACCCCGCTCTCACAGCTCTCTATCAGGGAGTAGCTGCGGTACACACTGCTGTGGGGACTCATGGGACTGGCCTTCCAGCACTCGTTGGCATTGGACACTAGGTACATGGTGACCTTCGGCAGACGATTCGTCTTCAGGAGATAGAAGAGGATGACCCGGATGAAGACTTGACTGATGAGCATGAGGCAGGCAAATCCAAACAGGATGTAGCAGGTGTTAAACAGGATCTGCTGAAGAGTTACTACCAAGGGGAGCAACTCTGTATGAAGGTACTCCATAAATGTGGCATCTTGAAATTCTACAAAACAGAAAATATTACATATAAATATGGTACATAATTTTTAAATTTACATTGACGTTCAGATGGGAAAACATTTCATTTTTAGAAATATCAAATAAGATTTTTCTTACCTTGAAGATAGTGTGGATAAATTGGCATGAAGTTACAGCTCTGTAGAGATTCTAGGAGAGATAATGATGGTTGTGCTTGTTGACATGGTGAAGCATTTTCTATGGAACAAAGTTCTTGAACAAGATTTTGTACAATGGAGGTCTGAAATAAGACAATGTAATAATAAATACAGGTAAAATAAACATTTAAGTATATTCACATGGTAAGATTACCGGGTACTTGGTAGATATTAAGAGTCCTACTACCTACTGTATACTTACATGTTTCTGTACAGTGTGCCCTAATAAAGAGTTAATATCATTCACTTCCATGAATGTTTTGGTTTGGAAATCTGTCAGCATTTCATTGCTAAACACAGCAAAGTCACTCAGCAGACTGTTAGAGATCTGTATCTGCCTGTGGAGCTGAGGCAGTATGGATTTAGTATCCATCAGAAAAGTAGCTGTCTCTATGGTTACAAGGTTATTTGTTGTCATGGTAATTAGTGAAATAATTAAAATAAAAGCACCTACAAGCACTATTCTCCATAATAATGGAGAAATTAGATGTTTATACACAAATCTAGCCACTTTTTTCACCATTGTGTATGAGTCTACTTTTTCCTGCACTGTAGGCATTGTGGTTCTTTGCTTGGAACGTTTCTGGGAGTAGATCTGCTGCAACATGTGCTCCTTTCCCTTTGAAGAACCTCCCTGGAAATATTGCAGCAGGTCATTTTTCCTCTCATAAATATCTTTACTATCACTGTAACTAAAATGTCTCTCTCTGGGCTTATCTCTCTTTTCAGCATCAATGCCAGTCAAAATGAAATAAATTTTCCCAGCCACAGAATCCATGGCCACTTTTTCCTCTACGCCCATCTTAGCTTTCCTGAACATTTGTCTTAACCAGGTGAAGCGGTACAATAGAAGAAGCACATCCATGAATAGAAACACACAGATGAACACTGGGAACAGAATAGACTTCATTTTCTCTATCAGGGAAGCCGTAGAGGAATAGGAATCTCTCCTGGCCTGGTGAGAAGAGGAAATGTTATGATGGTTCAGTGTGGAAGGGTTAAAGTTCAACTCGTTCTCCAGAATATGGAAGTTGTGTGATGTCAGCTGATTAGTGAGCTCCTCTATGGAATTCACCAGTAAATCATCATCTGATACAGAAAGTTTCAGGTTGGAGTCCAGTGTTGGGAGTGAAGACGACAACCTGCAAAAGAGATTATTTTATAATCATTTTCAGAAATATCTAATTTTTTCCAATATATTTTCAATTTAATAAAACAATTGTTTCTCTTTTCAGAAAAATCCAATTTTTAAACATTAATCTTCAATAAAAATGAAACAGTAATTATTAAATAAACAATCTACATTATGTGGATTATCTCAGTCTTACGTTTTCATGATGCCGTCCGTGACATGAAGCGTCTCCTCTACTTGGTTAATCTCCAGCCACTCCATAAACCCCAGGAGGTGGGCCATGTCCTGCTTACTGTCAATCAATTCCTTCTGACCAATGAAAAGCTGTTCTGGAAATTTCAGCCAATCATTTTTCATAAGACTTTTCAGAAACTGATGGTACTTGGAGAGAACAGTTTTAAATTCACTTTGTAATGTTCTATTATATTCCTTTAAAAATTCTGATAGCTCTTCTTCCAAAATTTTGGATTTTTCTTCTAAAGTGTTGGTAAGAATATTCTCAATTGTTTTGTTTTGTATGTAGAAATGTTTTACAAATACATCTAACTGTTCTTTCATTTGCTTTACAATTTTCTTAATCTCATGCAGGTTGTGGTACGAGCATGCTCTGAGTCGATCTCGAGTCTGGTTGTACATGTGAGATATCTCAGAAATCTCAAATTCCCGCATATTATGAAACCTGAGCTCCACCGCCTGGTGAATTTTAGCACTGGTATTGGACACAATAGTTAAGTTTCCTATGAGAGGTCCTTGCACAATATAAAATACACCTAGCAAAACAGAGAATGTAAACATCAAAGCATACACAACATAGAGAGTCACAAGACAGCAGGTCACGCTGCGCGAGATAGGGGTCTTAACTGGCCTTGACCCATCGTCTTGTTTTGACCTCTCATCGTCTTTCAAGAAAGTGACTCCTGCATATTTGAAAACGTCATTGGTTGTAACTTGTCTAATTTTGGAAATGCAGAATGCAGCAATCACAAATACGGTTACTAGAATTCCAGAAAATATCAGAATGACAATGATTGGCATCCATGGAAATTGGTTAGTGACATGTTCCATGACAACGAGTTCTCTTGTGACAGGGATGTTGGTTGGGTTGATTAACATGGTCAGAAGTATTTTATGTGAGGCCTTTGTGTCGTTAACAAAGACTGCAAACACATTTGGAGTGTCACTTCTGGATCTCGGTAGAAGAAAACTGAAGGAGAACTGTGGAGATGGACATTTCACGAAAATGTCATACTTTCCGAAATAGGATTCCATGAACTGGTCATACACATCCATGGTTAGATAGCCCGGGCATTTCAGTAGTGTACCTGTATAAGAAGATTGACAATGATCAATGAATTGACAATCAAGTTTTCAATCATGTTAAGCAATGAATTTCAATTTTTTGTCTGTAAGGTCTACTGAATTTGCTTTAAATTCATTTGCTCTAAATTAAGCTAGAATCTGTAATAACAGAAAATTACACAACAGTAAGCAGAGGGTCAGTTTTCTAAAACCTTGTGGACTTTTTGCTTTAGCTATTAAGATTTGGGTCCTTCATAGTTTACCATTGACGGTGATGTTCCAACTCCTTGTATAGTGCTGCCATTCCAGACTTCCTGAGAAACTACTGGAGTTGATGACGGTTGGTCCAATGTCGTCCTCAAAACTGGCCAGGATAGACTTATCTCCTGTAAATCAAACAACACAAGATTAATTAAATAAGACAGTACATTTTATATTGTGGTATTTTGTTATCTTTCTTTATCTTACAGAAAAATCATCTTATCTGTACACCACTTGTTCCAAAGAAATTGTGTGGATTTGACAACATTCTGGTTAAGACACATTTAAAACAATTGAATTTATTGCAATCAAGGTTAACACCATATTAGGGAAAATTTTGGATCATAAAAGATCTGGATTATACAATTTTCAGTGTACTAGTATACTGGTGTGAAATTTTACCTTTAATTCCTATTCTAATCTCAGCCTGCTCCTTCAGAGAAATAGCTTGATATTCAAATTTCCCGTCCACCTTACTGATAGTGGGATCAATCACGGTTTTCTCTGCCGTGTGGAGGGGTTGCTGGGGATAAATCTGGGAGAAGTTCTTGGCATCACAGCCTCCTCTGTTCCACGTAATGGCACTATATAGAAAAGGGCGCTCAAACTGCACAGTGGTGGAGTACACATTACTCTGCCACTCTGACCGATATGGACGAACCCCAAAATTCTTTCTGGTGTTGAACTCCTCTGGTTTTTTCATGGGCTGCATGTAGAAGCGGGTGGGTGTGTTATCGTCGAAGTTAGTGCCGGTCAGGATGACCTCATCGTGGATGTTGGAGTAGGTGGAGTGTCTGGTGTGGAGGAAATCCTGGCTGGCTTCTCCACTCTGGTGGAATTCTCGGTCTTTTACCTTGGGTGAGAAGTAACGCGTCTTAAAGGTGTGCTGGATAGAGGGTAGCTTCACGGTGTAGCTGACTTTGTACAGCTTAGGGGGCTTTTTGTACTTCATGTGACAGGAGAATTTCTTTTCTAAGGATTGAAACACTGGTTCAATGCTGTACCTGTATACATCACCTACAAAATAAACACAATCAAGCTTGACGATTTGTAAAAAATAAACTATATTTCTTTTTAATCTGATATTTCTCTGAGAATGCTGGAGAATGGTTTTCTTCAAACAGACCTCTTGCACACTCTATGGGTCTCTGTGGACAGTCCTCACTGAATGCCTTTTTACAGGTTCTCTGACTGAAACACGTCACTCTACAACACGTAACGTCCTCCAGAGACGCTGTAACAAATATTTGTCACAATAAAAGACTTTTCTAAAACTCTGTACTGCAAAATAAATCAAGTTTAGTTGCAAAAAAGGTATGACTTTACAGTACAGTATTCCTTGGTAGTCCTTAAATTATGCATTATTCACTTACAAAAAGAATGTTTATCCCAAATCCTTGCATGCTTCTAATATCAAACATATTATCTTTATTTTACCATTGAATTCAATACACAGTTTGATGTGGATGTGAATCAATCACCTCATATGATATCTAATAGCCGATACAAATTCATAGTATCATACATTTAATTTTATTTTAGCACATATGCTATCTTACATGATTTTTGTTCACACTGCTGCTGGCAATCCTGACAAAGCTCCATGCTCTGTTTACACTCCTGGGTGGGGAAGTTCAGGGTCGTGACCTTTGTTCCTTCCAATCCAAATGTATTTGTCAGAAGGCTGTTAGGAAGGGAACAGTACATCATGTTGGTACTTTGAAACAACTGGGAGAAGTTGGATTCCTGTAAAAGATATCAAACTGAGTGATTTCTACTATGATTTATCAGATTTTATCTCTCTAGAATGTTTAATAAAGCAAACAAATAAATGCACATAGAAAATCTGTATTTTTTTTGCCAAAATTGCCAAGAACATTTTAAAACATAATCAGCTGTACTCTCCGCTCTACACTGACCTTTCCGTCAGAGTATGGACACTTGATGTAGAGTTTCCTGTTGAGGTAGGGGTCCCCCTCCTTCACCCCCTCGGGGCAGGGGTCAGTCTCGGTGGGCTGGCAGGTGTCCATACTGGCCACTGTGTAGTGGTCAGAGAGAATGTTCAGAATAACCTTGTAATGGTCAGGTACCACATCCCTGAAATCAAATGAATGTTTGCTCTTCATTTGCATAACTTAATATATGTACTCCCATACGTACAAATTTTAAATATGTACTTCTACCTCTTTGTAGGGCTAATTTTTCTCCCTAATCACATATGACAGCTAAAGCTCATATCTTCAAAAGTGTTTAACAAAGACCATTTAATCTCAATTCTTAATGATCAATATTTGTGTTGTTATCAATCTACAATTTGTCATTATAAAGTTATATGAAACTTAAAAACATAAATAAATGAAAAAATTTATGACTATTAAGTGTTTTTTAACTTCAGGGGTATATCAAAGATGTAAATCTGTATCATACCTGCAGTAGTTGTCCTGTATAAATGTCATTCTCTTCTTCATGTTGTAGGTACTGAACTTGTTCATGAAGAAGAAGGGGGCGTCGTCCTCGTGATCCAGGTCCACATACTCTGGAATCAGGTAGGTCTGGGAGACTTTGACATTGACCTCCAGGCCTGACCTCCGGATGATGGGGAACTCCATCTGGATCTGGTTAGAGTTGAGGGGGAGGGGGATTTCCTTGTCACGGATGTTCTCCAGGCATTCCATAAAGACGTTGTTTGAAGAGGAAATGGACACAGAAGCTGTCAATTTAGAATAATGTTCCATCCATCACATCTATAATGCTAATGTTTTATTTTTCATGCATTGCCAACAATAATAACACCAAATCTGAATGTATTATTGATAGTGCTAACACAGATAATCAAAGTAATTCTTTTTTGTATCATATTTAAAAGACATTCAGTTTTTGTTTTTATAACTGAGCGGGCTCTACGATGTATGAACAGTAAAAGTTATCTCTCTTAGACCTACTTGAATTATTGGGTTCACGAATGGTAGCTTGCCACCTTACATTGGTCATTGGAAAGTTCACATCTGAAAAACAACAGATTCACATTTAAAATAACAGCAATAATGAGAAATTAATTATAACATATTCTACAATCCATATAAACAATCAAATCACTTACCCATGCATATTGTGTCCTGTGTACTAGAACATTTAGCAGCTTCATAAGTTGAACCTTTACATTTGGTGCACTCTGAAAATACATACAATGAGGGTTTTTTCATCAAACAAATTTTACCAAAATTTATTTTGATTTGTTAAACAAAACCTCCAATTATTTGATGTTAGAAAAAGAAAATTGTACAAGACATATTGACAAACACTAGCATTTACAACTCAGGTGTTTTATTTTACTGACAAGGTCAGAGGTCAAGACCAAGGTAAACCCTAGTACAGTATTTTAGTAGTGATTAAGCAACCTCATCTTGATCTACCAGTGTGTGTGAAGTTAAAACAGACAAAATCATCTTTTAAAATAGGAATAACTTTAAAATGTAATGTCTCCAAAATTGTTGACATAAACACAGATATCGCCTATTCATAGATGGATTTTGCTCGACAATCTGGCCAAAAATTATAAATTAATTGAATTCTAAAGGATTTATTTTCCTCTGTTTAAGTTTAACAGTTAAATCTGTTATGGTGTGAGATACCTCTACAAATGAGATCCTGATGAGCAGAACACTGGTGTGTCATGTAGAAACCATCTGGGCACGATGTCGAGCAGGCTGTGACAAAAACAAAATAATGTCAGTCAATTTCTCTTTTCATTCTTATGATATAAATAACAAAGCTGACAGAATTTTCTTGTCATTTGGATAAAAACAAGTAAACTACCTGAACACTCCCTGTTTTTAACAAAGTAGCCTCTTTTGCATCGACAGTTCAAAGCGCCTTGGAGAGTGTCACAGATCGCATAGGTCTCACATCGTGTTGGGTCAGTCCTGCACATGGCTTTTACATCTAGATGAAACAAATAATCATAAATGTCACGGAATAATTCAAAAAGAAAAAAAATGCAGAACACCTGCAGTGGTTTGGAAATAGTTATGGCTAAGTATCATGAGGTGCTTTTTTTTCAATTTTTTCCTCTAGTAAAAGCCTCTCTAGCAATGATCTATTTGATGTATACATGTATTAATTGTGCAGACCACAGAATGTAAATAAGATCATACAAACCCATGATATGAACTCGGGTAACCAGTGCCATGCTATTACTGTTGATAGAAATAGCAGAAATGGAGGGGTTTTCACTATAGGATCGAATTCTACCTGCAATACAAAATACAAAAATATGTAGACAGGTATTTCCATGCAAACATTCTGGTTAAGCAACAATGCTGGGCTTTGCATAAAGACAGACATTGTGTAAATTAACAAGCCAGACACAAAGCTGAGAGAGAAGTTAGAGATGTGACTCATTAGTTTTGGACTTCTTAGATGTTTACATGAATATTGGTTAGGGCATATGTCACCCTAAAAAATACACATCATAAAATTGCTCCAACTGGGAAGAAGAAAACAAACACGTAATACACTGGTGCTCCATATAAATCAAGATTATGTTAAGCTAACCAAGACAGAGAAGAATGCCTACAGGTATGCAATATTACTGTACATGTAGCGATACATATAACAAATTATCAATGAAATATCTGTAATAGAAGAGATAGCACTGAAAAATTTTTTATATAAAAATTTATTAACAATGATTGATGCACACATCTTCAGATAAAGTTGAAAAAGTCTTTATCAACATATTTTCTGTTTAGCTTCACAACTGACGAAACACATTGATAAACAATGAGCAAATTTTTTTTAAAAAAGCACTTCTTCCCCTTTCTGTCACCATATCATATCAATGGAAACAGTAATTATTTCTGACCAACTGGAACAAAGTAAATCACTTACATGGTGACAGTGTGTGAAATAAATGGTCAGGTAGAAATATTCATTTGGATTTAAAATTATATCAATCATTTTATAAAGCATGTTGTCCTATGATCCTTTTTTACTAATACAGTGATCACACTGCATGGTACAGCAATACATGTGCGTCATTAATTAACTGTTACAGCATAATTACTGCATATAATTAATAAGGACCTGCCCCTATTCCAAATGTTCCTATTCTGCACTGAATAACATAGAAGTGTGCTCATTTCAGTTTCTTGTGTTTAGATTTCATTACGGCAGATCTTATCTTGGTGTTTTTTGTATGCAATATCAAACAAAAACCATTGATTTTTCTATTTGCATAAGTCGAAAATCTCTCCCTTTCTCTCTAAATTGTCTCATCAAAAAATATCTTTGTTTCAATTACTTCAATCAATACATTTTCCCTGCATTTTACAGAAATTAATATCTAAAATTAATAAATAATGAAATTTCTGACAATTCTGTTTAAAATTTACAGGTCATAAAATGCTTAGAGCAAGCCTTCAAATAAACTATTAGAGAAGTTGCATTCTCTTTGTAGTCTTTTTTCTGTGGTTCTTACAGATATGTTAATCTGAGCAACACTAATGTGGATATGTAAATCAAGGGGAGGGGGGGGGATTGCTTAACAGATATGTGAATTTGGTAGGGGGGCATTTGCAAATACACAAATGTAGTAGACACTTATGGATATGTTGGTTGGGGGAGGGGAGATGCTAAATAATGGATATGTGAATATTGGAGGACACTTATGGGTACATTAATGTAGGAGGAGACTTATGTGAATCTGGGGGACACTTATGGGCACATGCATGTATGTTAATCAAGGGAGACAGATATGTGAAATCTAAGGGGGGGGGGGGGGTATGAAGAACACTTATGGATATGTGAATCAGGGGGAAGCGACTGTGACTTACAGATATGTGAATCTGGTGGGAGAGACTTACAGATATGTGAATCTGGGGGCTGGGGGTGAGACTTACGGATATGTGAATCGGTGGGGGGGGGGGGAGAGAGACTTACGGATATGTGATTCTGGGGGGAAGAGACTTACGAATATGTGAACCTAGGGGAAGAGACTTACGGATATGTGAATCTGATGGGATGCGGATCCTGAGGTAGTAATTGTAGGAGAAGGAGGAGAGGGCACACACAGCTGCTGCCATTAGGACGACGCCTACACACACCATTACAGGGCTGGGTAATGGCCTCCATCGTCCCCGGCTGGACTCAGCACCAAACCAAACTCTTAACAGTTTGTCCTGAAATATCAAAGGAAAAAAATCATAATCCAAGCTAGATGAGTAATGTAATATTTTCTTTATCAGTTTCCTCTGCCAAACTGATATTGCCTTATTAATCAGATGTATTCAGGGATGCTAGATATGGTATGTGAATGTTGATTTACCATTAGAAAAATAACTAATTTTTCCTATTGCGCACTTGTACATACTATGTGAATCTTTTCCATGATTTGACAACTCACTGATGAAAACATGATTGAAGCCTCTATCTAGTTCCTTGATTAGTAATGACTGTTATTTTATGTATTATTTCCCCTGTCCTCCCTTGTGGCATGTCAAATCAATACTGCCCCAACACTGCCTTTAATTCATTTAGGATGACTTGTTGTTTGTAATCAAATCAAAATTATTACAAAATGGCATTAGAAATTACTCCAGTGATCTCTACAAACAAGATCCCTACTGCCCTGAGTATACATTAGAGGGAATTCAGTGCTAACTAAAGCCCTTGTTACTCCTGGATGAAAGAAATTTCTGCCCATTGTCAGGGAACTAGAGTAATTTACGGCATGGACTGGTGTGGAGTGATGTGGAGTCAGGGAGTGGAAACTGTAACAGTTCAGAAAGGGTAAACCTCTCCCTATAATGTCATCTTGAATTTGTATATTTGTTATAACCATTTTCACACTAACCAAGTTTTACTCTACAAATCTATATTTTTTTTTACATGCATGCATTATCAATATTTCTCTTAGCAACCTCAATTTTTTTCTTAGCAACCTAAATTTTTTTTCTTAGCAACCTTTAACAATTAAAGGTCTTTATCCCCTAGAAAAAATTTGTGTCACGTATGAATTTACTATTTTCTACATTACAGAAATATTGACAGGACATGAATTTTACAAATTTTAAACATTTTACACATTATAAACTCTTTTGTATACTAAATAGCCCATTTGGCAATGTACGTATTACTTGTATAACTGGATTACCCTTAAGGTTTGCGTCCCTGTCATGGTGGCCGGACTTTCCTCATTGTGTAGACTAGATATGTCTGGTGTCTGTGGCTGATCATGGTTTATCTGTAAAAGAGAGTAGAGTTGTCATTACCAGACCCAAACCAGCACAACTCAATTACCCTAAACAAGAAAGCTTTGATATTGACATATTGGGTGAAAAGTGAACTTAGACTCAAGATATCTTCATAATTCATATCTTCTACTGGTAACAAGTTCACAAGGTTTAATATTCTGATAAAAAAGTTTTATTTGGTTGCTTATTGCAGGTGAGAGATTATCTTTCTTTATAATGTCATAATTAAACATTCCATAGTTTTGCAGACAAATAAAAAAAGCTATAAACAGAACCGAAATTAACCCCTCTTAAATACCATCAGATATAACCACATCGTCTAACGTTTTTGAAATGCTACAAGTACGATCAACGCAATTATTCGTCAAAGATATGCTAGGTGAGTACAATATACCTCACGTACACTATCAAATAAGCAGATAATCACTTGTCATGAAACGCCCAAATATTAATGCTTTCTTTCTTAATTTTATCATAAGAAGAATTTGGAAAGGTGGCAGCTATTACGTGTAAAATCTTCCCAGGTCATCTTTTACAAATCAAACTTGAAATATTCATGCCCTAGACAGATTTTTTTCCTGTGTACCACACACCACCTGCCGGTGCTTTGCCACCATCTCTTCCTTTTTTTGGCCAGACATATAAACACATGACAAAGATCTCAACCCTGAAACGTGTCTCGTAGTCAATCAATTTATAGTCTAATAAACTATTGTACTCGAACACGTCTAACCAGTGTGGTGAAACTCTTCTGTTATAATACAATGCATTTACAAGAAAAACAACCAACAAAGATCATTGTTGCGGGCTCTTGTCTCTTATCCAATCTTTATCCCTTGGAGACACAGTTTGGCTTTTGGTGTCCAGTCTCTCAAAAATAATTCAATTTGGTTCTCGATTCACTGATTGTCCGAATGTTTTCAAAACAAATATATATAAGAACACACCTCAAATCAAACAGACACTTATCCTATTTTCTATGAAATTCTCTCGGTACATTCAAGCAAAACCATAATTTACTGAATTTTATACTGGACAGCTCATACCTTAGAAAGTAGCATAATGGCTAAACCAAAACACATATGGTACTGTACCCCTATATCTAATCAGAGAATAGAAGTACACCTACAGTTTGTAAAGTTAAATCAGCAATAACCATCACTGGGCATCCTACACTTACATATGAATTTGAGGCACAATATGCAAAAAATAATGAGAGAAACATATCATAAACATCTTATTGAAAGACAGTCAACTTCAATTTCATATTCATATTTTTATTAATAAAAATAATTCAAACATTATACTCTGATTTCTGAAAATACATTTATTGTGTCAACCTGTCCACAAAATTAACATAATATTTGGTTTATACACAATTTGATTATTTTTCAAATGCTGAAAACTTGATTTTCTAAAATTGATAAGTGATGCAAATGAGAGCATTTTAATCATGTAACTGAAATTTGTTTTCTGTTTAAATATAAAACATTCAGAAAATGTAAGTATTGTCATTGAGTTGGAATGCAAGGACACTATATTCAGATGGTTTTCCCTTTTTCTTTTGAATTGTCAAACTTCAATTCCTTCCTTTTTTAATCAATTTGCATGATTTGTTAAATTATACATTCAATGTGCCCTCAGAGTCAAAAATTTACTGCGTAAAATTAATTTTGACAGCTACACATTTCATTTCTGTCCTAGACACTATATAGTACAAATTACTAATAAAATTACAGCAGCTCTTTATTTGTTGTCTATAAATATCTATTTTGTAATCCATTTCAATAATTTATAGAGAAAATTAAGATATAAGATCTTCTGAATCCAAATATACATAATTTTATAAATTCGCAATTATCATTCAATAAAAGAAGAACTTTATCTGTCAAAGAAATTTTCAGAAATAGTAAATTTTTACCACAAATCTATTACCAGACAGAAGGAGAATTAATAACACTCTCCAGATACCACAATTCAGATAATACAGCAAAAATATAATAACCCTTTATTATCCTATTTCAAAATATGTAGATATGATCAAGATTTATTTCTATGTAGAGAAAAAAAATATCATGCAGCATTTTGTTTTAAATAGAGACTGCAACCTACTGTTGTGTATGCTGAAGAGAAACTGATTGTTGGTTTAAATATTTTCATACTATTTGATTCCCAAAGACAAACTTAAAAAAAAACAGTCATCTCACATTTTAGAATATTATATTTACTGAAAATTATCATGTATTATCATACTTTTATTCATAGTAAAACTCTTTTTATACATACAAGCTGCATGGATATAGAGAATTTTTTTGGTTAAAGCAACGATTTTGGGGATCACCCTCAAAATTCCAAACAATTTTCGCAAACTTTTAGGTTAGAACTAAAATGAAGATAAAATGAAGCGCAACTTATTTTGTATCTGATTTGTTAAGAATAATGAAATTACTCCTTCCATAGTGAATTTTTAAAGATGTTAAAATTAAAAATCTGTCTTTATATATAAATTTTTAGCTTGTCAGAAAAACTTTAAAAGTACTCCAACAAAAGGTATATGACTGAAGAAATTCATGATTGTCATACTTGATGGTATATAATGTGTATTTTATGAATTATCAATACGCTATATACTTTAACAAATTCATTATTTTATTATAATGAATTAGCGAAGTAAGTTAAACTTTAGTATAATCAATTGAGTCTTGTTATATACTTAATTTTTCAATTTTTTAATTACATACTTAAATTTTCTTTGAGTTCTTGTATTTTCATAATATTACATATAATTTTACAAAAAAGAAATCACTATAAGATCACTACTTTATAATCTTCACCCATTTAATTTTATGAATTATGAAAAATTATTTTCCTACAAATTAAAATCTCTGCAAGGTGAAAAATGTTTGGACAGCCCTGGCCTATTTTATGACATTGCAAATACAGTAAAACTCGGTTATAACGAAGTCACGGGGACCTATGAATTTACTTCGCTATATCCGTAATTCGTTATATCCATATAAGAAATACATTAAATTTATATAGTTGGGGATCCAAAACAACTTCGTTATAACCGTGAATTCGCTATATCCGTGTTCGTATTAAACGAGTTTTGCTGTATAAAGCTAGTTAAAAATCTTACCAATAGCTGTTAGCTAGCAATTATACCCAACTTTTACTACATATTTCTGTTCAATATTACACAAGCTAGAGAATAAAATTTCTTTGATCTTTAAATACTGTAAAATCTAGATGGACCAAGTAGTTCATTCTGGAAGACCATCTTTTTATGACAATCCAATAAAATTGGCAATCAAACCAACAAGTGGAAGGTTGGGTGTGAGACACTGAGGTTTCTGAAGAGGATTTTAATTTCTAGCTTGACCCCTTTACAATCAATCCAAATTTTCCAGTGCGCTGATTCAACATTCAACTAAGATTAACCAAGTAAATAATTCTTAAGCCATATATTTTCTTAATACGAAAGAAAAATTGTCATTAACAGAACTCTTCCTACTGTAACAAATTTGTACTTTAATCACCCTTTCTTGCTAATACTACCAGACCAGACAACCTACTTGAAGAAATTCAAACTACAGCCATATATATATTTTATCTGCACAAGGGATATGTAAGGCATCTGTTGTGAGGTAATCTATGGCACCATGTGCAGCAAAATACAACTTTATTTCTCCCAGAAAAGATGGAGATAATTCTGATAAACAATACTCGCAATTGATTTGCTTTCAATATGCACAACTGAGTAATCCCTTGGACCCAGAATGGCTAAATGATAATCCAGTGCTTGTTGCCTTTAGGCCACCATTTGTGTTTGTTTGCAGGAGTCTGTGCCAACATGCACTTACTAATGAAATATTACAAATCTGCAAGAAAATATTTTGAGTTTATAGTGACAGTTATCTTGACTCATTAAAAACAAAAAAGATTAAAGGTTTTAAAGATACAGTAAAAAGAATTCTTTCAAATAATTGTTTTTAATTCAGTTTTACCTGTAAACAATCACCCATTCCTGTTCAATTTATATTTATTTCATGTATATATGTTAGAAATCTGATAATAATCTGCCAGTAAAGCCATACAATGTTTCTCACACAATACTCTTTTATTGACTTGATTGAAGGAACCCATTCTTTGGCATCCAATGATGGAGTACTCATTAGATGACCTTGGCGTAACATTAGAAGACCAGTCACTGACTTGGGGAAGCTGCCATGTTTATAGTTTGGTCCATCAGGAATCTTTGTCAGGAGACCAATTGACAGGACATTGTACGGCAGAAAAACACACTGAGCACTCCCTATGGCAATAAAATGATGGCACAAACCGAAAAAATAAAACAAATGAAGACAGACTATCGAATCTTAGCCCAAAGTGATGAGGCAATTCTACCAGGACATGCCAGGAGAGAATTGGGTTTCCCTAACTATACATCACAGGGGACTTCCTGTTCCTAGAAAGGTCTATTTCTCCTGAGACTTCCTGACTTAGAAATCTTATGAAAGAATAGGTGAACAAAACCATTCTAAGCAATGGATTGGAACAATTATGCCATAGTGCTCCCTACAATACCCTATAATACTATCAGGACAGAACATGATCTATGATACCAGTTAATTATTGATTTAATTCAGGTGGATTATTTTTTTTTCTATTGAGTAAAAACAATGCTGATAGCTATTAAAGACTGAAATACAAACAGAACATGACATTGGCCTACAGTTGCCTTTGGAATGGTAAGCTGGTCCCAATTGTCCTCGCCAAAGAGGCTGCAGTTCCTATCAGAAATGGAGAGAGCTGGGTCACTTGACAATTATAGGGACCACTTAAACTCTCTTAACAAGGGAAGACTTGATAATATAGAATCAAAGAGACAATACCCTGATCCGATTATTCTACTTTACAATTTATCATATCCAATCAATTGTAAAGGTTTTAGTATCCATATCTGTGACCAACAAAGTACGCTGACTTA